TACTACATAATATATTTTTGTGCATAAATATTATATGTAGATAATATATATAAAGTTTATGTGACTTGCCCTATTATTTTTTCATCTTTCCCACCAAGAACAAAGGTTTACTTTGTGTTGACAAATAAAAACTGTCATTTAATTGAATCACATAATAGTCTCACTGTCTCGGTAGATAAGTAGAAATCCTAGGAGGGTTGTCAACATTTTTTACATTTGGTTGATGTATATAAATAATATATATAGATAACACATACATATGAAAAATATGATTGGCTTAATTAAGCCAATCATATATCAGTACCTAATAATTACAACATTTTTTCTTCCACACATAATATAACAGGTCACATAACATTGTCAAAATTTTAACCTAGAATACGAAGATTCATAATAGTACATAAGTCATAATTCATACCCTAGCCCCAATAATAAGAAGATTCATAAAAGTTACGTATAAAATACTTACGGGTATTATACTAACATTCTTCACATATCATACGTTATAATTTATACTTTATACCAACAATTTCATAACACATAACTATATTTCATGGTTTAAGGTTAGTGTATATGGTATACGGTAGTGGACTCGTGATTTAGAGTTTGGAGTCATAAGACGTATGTTCTTCTCAATAACCGAATATAAAATTGACTCAACTTACATTCTTCACATAACATACGTTATAGCTTATACTAACAATTTCATAACATATAACTATAGTATAGGGTTAGGGTTTAGGGTTAGGGTCTAGGGTTTATTCATGGTTATGCTTTATGTTGGATATTTTGATTTTTATAGTTTATTATTAATTTGATTTTAACAATTAGTTTAACTTGTGAATGTACATCTTAAATATATCATATTCAAATGACATTCCGACCAACGAATCGAACAACAAACTAGTTAATCGGTATAAAATTTATCATCTATAATAATAAATATCAAAGAAAGGAAGAACTAGATGTTTATGAAAAAATTTTGAATGCAAAATTCAAAACTCCCAAAAATTTGCTCAAAAATTCCCTTGCAAACTCATTTTTTTTTAAAAAATCCCTCCCATAAACCCCCTTCCCCCAATGTTTGATCCAAAATTGAAAATTCCCTCCCACCTCCCCCAATATTTGATCCAAAATTGAAAATTCCTTCCCACCTCCCCCAATATTTGATCCAAAATTGAAATTCCCTCTCATCCCAAAATTGAAAATTCCCTCCCACCTCCCCCAATATTTGATCCCAAAATTGAAATTCCCTCCCATCCCAAAATTGAAAATTCCCTCCCACCTCCCCCAATATTTTAATCATGTGAGAAGGGAAATCCCTATCTCCGCCACCAGACTGTCTCCAGTGGTTCTGTCCCCTCCGCTCCCTTGCCGTCTTCGTCTCCTCTAGGTTAGAAAGGACTGAAGACAGTCGAATCCCTGCTTCCTTTCTTCTGCTCTCGGCATATAGGTTATGCACGTTTGTATTTTATATGCACAATTTCAATATAGTAATTGTGTTGTTTGTATATTGCAAATATTTAAGTAGTTAGTTAATATCATATATGTTATATTTCTTACAAATTATGTGAGATAAACTAATTTAATATTATCGATTGAGGATAAGGCTAACTGTATAGGATATATGTTATTCAGTAAGTTATGATTGAAGTCATAATAATTTTACTAAATTTGATAGTTAATCTTTAGGACAATTCGAACAATTTTACAAATAACTCGTTTGACAATAGTTTACTGAAGTTATTTGGGCAATGAGTTATTTCGAAATAACTCCTTTTATCACTATGCTTTTGCCAAATACCACAAACCAAATACCATATTTGCATGGTTATACTAAACAAGATACTTTAATCCAATTACTACTGAAATAATACTAAAATATCAAATAAACAATTAATGGTGTCTTTTGGTTGCAAATATTGATATCACCATTACTATTAGCTAGTGTACTTTACCAATTATGATTAATTACATAACAAGTTTGCAAGTCATACAAATTGATTCAACATTTTGACTAGTTTTTTTTAATTAAGTATATATATACGACGTAGAATAAATTGGTTAAAAAGTTGAGAAAATATTTTAAATTAGTGTAATAAAATGTGTAAGTTGGTAACGAGTAATGAGTAAGTTACTCGATGCGCTGGCCCGAATAACCGGAAATCCGATCCGCCCGCAACCCGCCCGACCCAAAACCCGATGAACCCGCAACCCGATTTGTCCGCAACCCGATTGAACCCGAACCCGATGAACCCGCAACCCGAATAACCCACAACCCGTTTGAACCCGAACCCGATGAACCCCCAACCTGACTAACCCGCAACCCGTTTGAACCCGAACCCAATTGAACCCAGCCCGAACCCGCCCGAACCCGCCCGATTGACACCTATACTTTCACCATCGAACAATCCTTCTACTCTGGGAACGTGTTAGGATGGTTACTAAATTTCTAGTAGCCACCTTGGCTACATCAATATCCACCATTCATTTTTATCTTTTTCCTATTTTTTTAATCTCACGATTATGATTGCTAAAGGATAATTTTGGAAACAAAAAATAAACCACACTGAATTATTCTATATATGCACAAACCCTAATTCTATCCTCCTCCTTCCAACCAAACCCACGCCGGCAGCCTCCCCTTCCCCACCGTCCCTCTCTTCCTCCTCCGCCCCTCCCTCCTTCATCCCCCTCCTCTCCCCTGCCCATCCCATCTCACCCCACCCCTCCTCTCCCATGCCCAACCCACCCCACCCCTCCCCTCCCCCCGCCGACCCCATCCCACCCCCACCCTACCCCTACCCCGCCGACCCATCCCCTTCGTCCATGCCTCTCTCTCTCTCTCTCTCTCTCTCTCTCTCTCTCTCTCTCTCTCTCTCTCTCTCTCTCTCTCTCTCTCTCTCTCTCAGGGAGGAGTCGATGGACAAGCGACCTGAACCGCGGAGGTCGTCAAAACAATCGACGATGCTGTTCATCCTTTTATTTCCGACCTCTCGCCTTAATGGTATTGTTTTTGTTGCATTGGTATTGATTTTGTTGCATTGGTATTATTTTTGTTGTATTGGTATTTATTATCATGTAATGGTAGTAATTTGCATGTACTGGTATTGATTAAATCTGCAATGGTATTGATTTTTTGTGAAATGGTATAGATTTATATTTGTAGATTGTTTATATTGGTAGTTTTCGTGTAATTGTATAGATTTATTTCTGCAATGGTATTGATATTTTTCAAAATGATGGTGGTTGTCTAATGGATTGGTAGTGATTTCGTGTTTTTTTTCTTTTGCAGAAAGATTGAGAAAAATAAGGAAAGAGGATCTGGCTGGAGATTATGGAAGTGAGAGAAAGAGAGAGAATTGTAATTAATAGATTCTTGTAACTAGCTAAAATGTAATTTATTAAAAAATTAATTAATACAATTTATTTTTCATACCCAATTTACCCTTAGTAACCACGGTGATTACTACTTTGTAGTAATCACCGTAACCTGTCCCTTCTACTCTGCCGTCTAGAGATGGCAATGGATCGGGTCGGGTCGGGCGCGGATAATGCATATCCGTTATCCTACCCATAGTAGTTCGGGTTTTACCCATACCCATACCCACATGTGAAACAGGTACAAAATCAAAACCATGCCCATACCCGTTCGAGTTTCGGGTATCCATGGTTATCCATGGGTAATAATTTATCTTTATAACTCTAACCAATATGTTAACATTCACACGTATTCTCACATTACATAAGAGGAAAAGTACGACAATAATTCACTAGGATGAAGAAAATTAATTAAAACTACACAATTTCATGAAAATATTATATTTATATGCTAAATATAAAATATGTTAGAGAAAAATAATGATTATTTCTAGACAAAATACATATGCATGTGTATAATCGGGCAGGTTCGGGTTGGATTGTGAGAAACCCATACCCACCCATTACCCACAATATTCGGGTTCGGATTTTACCCGTACCCACTAAATGTCCTTCGGGTTCGGGTGTTACCGTACCCGATTAAGCCGGATTCGGGCGGATATCCACGGTTACGGATATTTTTGCCATCCCTACTGCCGTCCTCGCCGAGTTGTCGTTGTCTGTATCAGTCTGGCATGCGCCGCGCTCAACTATTGTTTGAAGGCCTTCGGGTGGGTTAAAGTTCTTGTATGGAGGGCTTTGGGTGGGTTCAGAATTTCAGATCTGGACTCTTCTTACTGTTTGTTTATACATAGATTAGTAGAGAAATTTTACAATGATATATAGCATTGGTGTTATAGGTTTTTGCTTTTATGGTACAACTTGAAATTATACCTTTAACGTTATGGTACAACTTAAACTTGTACCTTATGTGATGGTACAACTTCAAGTAGTAAAATTGTACCATAACATAATGATACAAATTCATTTATGGTACAACCTAAACTTATACATTTAATGTTATGGTACAACTTCAAGTTGTACATTAAAGCACCAATGCTATATAGTATTGATTTTCAAGAATAATTGTTTGCAAAAGTAGTCATTCTGATTCATTTAGGACAAAAATATGATACTGTTTCTTGAGATTTAGCAGTTTTTCCGTGTTCGTTCTGTTTTTTAGAGTCTGACTTGTTAGTGATTCTCAAGAGCTAGCAGTAGGGCTGGCAGTTCGGTTTCCGGTTAGCGATTAACCGGCAGTTACAACCGAATCGACCGGTTTTCGGCTAACCAAAACCGAGACTAAAATTACTTCGGTCAGTGCACGGAGGAGAATAAAAAGCTTCGGATAACCGAGTAACCGTCGATTATTAACCGCGGTTATCCGAAAAAACCGACCCAAACCGACCAACCCTCATATATTTTCCTCCCTGCAAAAAAAAAAAAAAAAAAAAAAAAAAACGACATCTACCCTTAAACCCACTCTGGAACCCTATAATTCCCTCATCATACCCTCACCCTCACGAGTCACGGCCGCCGCCGAGCTCCCTTCCCCGTCGCCTCACGGCCGCCGCCTTCCTCTATTCCTCGCCGCCATGCAGATCCTTCCTCGTCGCGTCGCACCCATCCAGATCCCTTCCTCGTCGCTGCCCAGATCCCGTCCTCATCGTGTTGCCTCGCGCCGCCGCCTCCATCCTTCCTTTTTCCCGTCCATCCGTCGTCGTCGTCACCGTCCCCAAACTGATGAACCGCGGCCGCGAAAGTGAGAAGGAAAAGAAAAATGGTCTTTGTCCATTCTCCATGAGTTCAGAGAAGAAGAGAATGAGAATTGAGTTTGGCTGAGAGAGAGAAAGGGAATTGAGATTTGGAGGGGAATGGAAGAGGGTTATCCTCTGGTTTTAGTTGGGAGAGAGAGAAGAGAAGAAGAGGCTTGGAGATGGAGGGTTAGGTGGTTAGCAGAGAGAGAGAGGGGAGAAGAAAAGACCATGTTTTCTTTTTGGGTGAGGAGAGAAGAAGATGATGAAAATGTGTGGTGGGTTCTTTTCTTCTTTTTTATTTATTTAATTTTTTGTATTTAATTCGGCTAATCGCGGTTATAACCGATAACCGGTCGGTTAGGCGGTGACCGTGTAAAACGCGCCGGTCGGTAGTGCTAGGGGTCGCTCGGTTTAACTGAAAACTGACTTTTCGGTTTTCGGTTAAACCGAAACCGAAACCGACTGACAGCCCTACTTAGTAGTGTTTTCCTGTTTTTGGGTTTTCTTGTTTCTTCGGAATTGACAGTAGCAATTAGAGATTTGGGATGAATGGGATTGTGTAAGTTTAGTGTTGATCTTTGTAGTAGTCGTCTCTAGTAGTTGTTTAGGCATTAGTGGTAGTAATTTGTGTTAGATCTGATTTAGTTTTCCGTTTTCAAAACCCCTAATCATAGAGTAGTTAAAAATATATTTCGTATTTATATATGTATCTTGTAGGTAGTTCACGTGGTAGTGTTTTTAGTGATTCCAAAAAAAAAAGAGTAGTAGTGGTGCGGGTGAGTAACCTTATGGTGAGTAACTATGAGTAATCCGTCCACACTCCACATACATCAGCATCCCTCTCTCTAATCTTTAACAGACGATTTCTCTTTCGTTTTAAGTCGAAATTTAAATTTGTTTGCACATATAAATCAGATTAAATGTGCTCTTCAAAATGATATCCACTTTGATATATTTTTTAAACAAAAAAATGAGTCATTTTTTACCAGTCTATACCATATTGTATTGACTGGTATTGAAATAAGACAATTCCTATAGTTTGAAAAGCATACCATGGTGGTATGAGCAAACCAAGACTGTAGGATGGTTGAATACATGATAGTAGAAGAATATTAACTATCATTTACGACTTTTAACATTGTGTACCTCTCTCCTGAAAAGCCTTTTATCTATTCCTCTTTAATCTTTAACGGACGATTTCTCTTTCATTTTAAGTCGAAATTTAAATTTGTTTGCACATATAAATCAGATTAAATGTGCTCTTCAAAATGATATCCACTTTGATATATTTTTTAAACAAAAAAATGAGTCATTTTTTACCAGTCTATACCATATTGTATTGACTGGTATTGAAATAAGACAATTCCTATAGTTTGAAAAGCATACCATGGTGGTATGAGCAAACCAAGACTGTAGGATGGTTGAATACATGATAGTAGAAGTATATTAACGGTCATTTACGACTTTTAACATTGTGTACCACAAGATACCACCTCGTACCAGGGTGGTATTGTGTGGTATTTTTTGGTCATGTAATTTGTTCACTCAGAAATTTGTAGATCCAATAGATCATGATGAACTCGTTTCTTCTATGCAAACATTTTCAAAAACGAATTAAAAACGGAGAAGATACCATATGGTATGCAGTTGGTACCGAGAGTCAAGAAATTTTTTTTCTCAAAAAATATTGAAAATGAATATCGTTTTGTAGAGCACAACGAACTCGTTCCGTCTGTGCAAAAAAAAAAATTGAAATCCGGGTTAAAACGAAAAAGATATGAGACGATTAAGAAAAGTAGGGAAAATAAAAATGACATTTAATTCTCCATCCTTAGATCTGAATTTTCTAAATAAAAGGTCCAAATTTAGTTATTGATGGGTGCATAACCCATATGAGTAAATGCATTTTGCGTGTAGGCCTTTACTCTATTTAATGGATGTCCATGTGTGGCAAAAACGAATTCAAGTTAATGTTGGTTTGTTTTGTAATGAATTCTTGGCATTTTTCTCTTGTAAAATCACTACTAGGTACTATCGTTAAACACTACAACGATCATTGTTTACAAATATTATTATGGAACAATACTTGTGAATGAAAATACTATTATTATCTCTCAAATTGCTACTACAAGCAACCGTGTGTAAAATGGCTACGATATGAAAATGACTACGATATGAATAAAAAAATTATCAAGAATAATAACTACAACTACTAAAAATTATCAAAATCTCTAATACTGTTATTATTAAATCACTACTACTATTAAATTTTATCACAGAAAGCGAATAGACCGTATAGAGGTTATGGATGGATAGGAGAGAGAGAAACAGGAGAGAGAACATTAAATTGGAATTTCCCATATAAATATAGGAACAATGACACAAATGTTGTTTTTTTTTTAATTTACCACCAATATGGTGGATTAAAAAGTATTAACATAAATATTGTAATTTTGTGTACAGTCATAGGCGGGGACGCTTGAAACTAAGGAGAGGCCGCGTTTTGAAAACTTTTAACCTGTCTGAGGCTCTGGCGCCTTAGTCTCCAGTGCCATCGCCTATGACTTATTATAACCTATTTTAAAAGCGCCGTGAGCCCTATCCCTTTCTCATCTTCTCTTCTTCTTCCTTCCTTCCCCCCTCACCCCGTACCAGAGCTCCGCCAAGCAGCAGTCAAAGGCACCGCCGCCACTGACCAAGGCGGCGCCGCTGCTGACCCAGGCGCCGCCGCTGCAGACTGAAGCGCCACCGCCTCAGATATGTCGTCCGACGAAGAAGAAGCTATAGCCGGCAGAGGCAGGGGGAGAGGCCGACGAGGTCGTGGAGGTGGCGCCCGTTTTCGAGGTGAGGGTCTCGACGGCGGCTGCCCGAATCTCGCCGGCGGCAGTTTTTTTTTTAATTAATGTTTTTGTTTCTTTGTTTTTGCGGTTCCTAGGCTTATGGACCCTTATTCGATGATACTACCGCCGGTGACAATTGATCCAGCTCAGGTCGATCCGGTACTTCTTTGGGGACATGGCCAACATCGTATTGACTCAGTTTGGGAAAATGAGGTAACTATTTGATAATTATTCATGTAAAGTTAATCAGCTAATTAGATTATTTTAGTTGGTGAACTGAACTGTACTGAAATTAGAATAGGATTACTACGTACCAAATTTTTTGAAATTAGTATAATTTGAGATTATATTAGAATTCATTAGGTGAAAATTATAATTATTACGAATGAAATTGAATTAATATAAGTTTTGTGCACTATAGGCTGGTGATCGATCTTACCATGTTCGAGGTACGACCAATTTAGTGATGTACCATGAGCTTTATCGGCCATATCTCGAAGCGGCTGGCTTGTTTAGTGTCGTGCCCCTGGTCCCTATGAACTCCGATGCGAGTTTGATTACTGCGCTCGTAGAGCGGTGGCGACCCGAGACGTCGACCTTCCATATACCGTTTGGTGAGATCACGATCACGTTAGAGGATGTTGTTACACTGTCCGGTCTGGCGATCGATGGTGAAGGCGTCGTAGTTGATATACTGGATGAGGAGTGGTCGGCGAAATATCGAATGACCTGGTTGTTGAAGAAACTCTTAGCCAATCAATCACCGATATTGACATTTTTCTCTTGACCACCCGCAAGAATGTTTGCAAAAAATCGTAGGATTCTTCCCAATTTCCATGCAACTTCTCCAATGCTCTTTGTTTCCCATATCAAGCCTTCTTGTAAGTAACTTGCATATTAAACTTATCTTTCAACACGGCCTGCACAGTTAGAACACTCAGATTTGGTTGGGCACGTACCAAATGTTTGACGGCCTCAGATATCATGTCGACATCAAGATGGCGATGATCCGTCGGTTGAGTCGTACTGCTACACGAATGCACCAACTCAGCCTTTCTCACAGTCCATTCACCTCCTACATCTCGACATCCAAACCGCACCATCCAAGGACAATTGTCATCCTTGTGCCTCAAGCATCTGACCTTCCAGATTGAAGGTGACGACTCCACCACGCTATATTGAAAGTTGCGTTGTAGTGCGTGGTGTTTAATCACCATCTGTGCAGCTTGTTTCGAGTGAAATATCTGCCCCTTGTAGAATTCACCTTCAAAACTATCAACAATAGGCATTGGAATTACGCCATATGAATCAGCAAGTGATAATTCTTCGTCCTCTTCATTACCCTGCAAGTAAAAATATGGAGGATAATTAGGCTTCTTTCCTTCCCCCTCTTCCTCCTCCTCCTCCTCCTCCTCCTCATCTTCCTCCTCTCCGTCATCACTGTCATCATAGTCATGATCGGATGGCACGCTCCATGTATCATCTTCTTCCTCTCCACCCTGATCCTCACTGAGCTAAACATGTATCTCAGCACCCAAACAATAAGGATTTTGTGCCATAAAATTCCAAAGAACATTCAAGCTATCATCATCCACAATAGGCATCGCATAATGAAATAAAACATCATTCTGCCATTCTGGAAGATGGTAAGTGAAACCTGTGATCACCTCACTATCTTGTACTGCTTCGTCTCTACCTCGTATTCTCGGAATTAGATTCTCACAAAGTTTGTGATATGTGACCCTGGATGGAACCGTCAACTGAAAACTACTATCACCAACGAATTTGACGCCCAAATTATCCTCTACTTTCTCCGATTTCCACCGAACGACTAGTTCAAATCTTCTAAAATCACTACAGAAAAACAAACTCACTAATTAAAACTAAACACAACCATAATAGCATTTGAATAATATAATTACAAAAATAAATGTGTCTCTTACCTATTAGCCATTTTTGCAGCAACAACCAGAGCTCTCCTTTATCTTAGTCGATTTTTTTTGTGGTGTGAATAACTGAAACAAATTATGTTGGTTTTATAGGGGGTAGCCAGCAATAAGCCAGCGGTGCAACCTTAGTATTGGGCGCCATCGCCTGGGACAATTTCCCACCAACTCACCTATGCCTCAGGCGGTGCCACCTCAGTCTTGGGCGCCGCCGCTGTCATCTTAAAAAAACGATCCAAAAAGACAGCAAAATCGGCAGCACCTGAGTCTCAGGTGGTCTCGCCGATTTTTTTCTCCAAAACACAATATCTGTGTCAATACTTTCTAATCCGCCATATTGGTGGTAAATTTAAAAAAATATATTTGTATCATCCATAAATCTGCAATTCTGCATTAATTATTTTTATTTATTTTCCCCATACTGCCTAATTTGTCATCCACTAAATTCCAACCGTTAGATTAAAAAGAAAATGAATGGCCTAGATCATAATTAGTATGGTGCTAAGTGCAAACCCTATAGGGGAATGGAAAACTAGCATAGGGCCCAGCCCGGCCTATTGGCTGGTGGAGTTTTATCTTGGCATTTTAAAATCTTGTATGTGATGGCGTGTTTTGCTTCTTATATGGAGAGGGGCATTAATCCTAGGAAAACATTTTTAGAGATGTGTTTTAGATAGCGCCCGTGCGAAATTCAAGTTGGATCCAAAAATGCCGAGTAAACATTTTGTGGATATTGAACACGTTAGGGCATAAAGAACCTGAGTAAGCATTTTGCAGAGATTGAACGCATTAGACCTTTTGCGGGTGATTATATTTCTCTAAGCTATTGCAGTCAACTCCTAATTCTCGTATGCAAGTAGATGAAGGGCCGATAAAGGCTAAAGTTGCGACTGAAGCGATGGGCTTGAAAGGATTTAATGATACGATTAGTTCCATGGAGGCTTAGGCCTTTGACCCCGCATGCTCTTCTATCATAAATACTTGAATCTTCCAATAATGATTAGCATGTAAGTTCTTAGTAGTGTTGGTCATGGTGCATTTAATAACTTTTGTTAAGATAGTCGTCAACGTATGACTTCTGAATAAAATGACCATTATCAGTTGTCATGAGCAATGAGGTGTATTTTATAAACTTCTTTGCATCTAAAATTGTCGTATTTCTAAATTCGACCATATTTTTTTTATCTTGATAATACATTCTAGTTAATTGAATTCTAATCAAGGTATAAAATAAAGGTTTAGCGGGTAAATCGAGCCCAGACAAATATTAAAGGGGTCGTTTGGTTTTGGTGATAGTTAAATCGATGTATTGTCATCAATGCATGCATAATAATATACATGTATATAAGAAAATTGGTGTATTGTAGTTTACATCGTTTGGTTTCTGTGATAGTTATTATAGTATTTAAATAAATTATATCACTTTTTGGGTGAAATGTCACTTTTACCCTTTGTTTTTTATATAAAAAAGCAACACACATAAAAAGGTAGGGACATATTTGGAAGAAGAAGAAAACACAACAATCTCTATCAAACAATCTCAACAATCTCAACGAAAACTTGATATTTAACTATCACTCATTTTGAGTGATAGTTTGTGTCAAATCAAGCAAACAATACATGTATTGTCTTCGCAGAAAATTCAAAAAAACGATGCATTATGGACATTGCATGCATTGTAAATATCCCAACCAAACTATCACCAAAACCAAACGACCCCAAACTCACCTATCGAGCCAAGTGTTCAAATATTTTGACATAAAACCTGTCAACTTCCATAAGATAACGTACATTAGGCTCAAATTAAGACAAACACTCCTACTTCTTCCAATACCAAACACCTAGAGACCATGGAACATGAACATCATTGAATAAAAAATGGTATAAAAATAGAATGTTCCTAAAACTCAAAAGAACAACCATAACCTTCAGTTTAGGTCAATATGTGGCTTAACTAAGTCTATACTCAACTTTTCTCTCATATATAATTTAATTCATACTCTTTAAGTTACTTCACAATAATAATCCCTAAAAATTATAAATGAACAAATCCAACTATTTCGATTGTGAAATTGATATCGAATATGGTTATAGTGTCACAAAAAAATATTCCACACTATTTGTACAGAATGATAGTAATAGAGCTTAATTAACCCAAGTATGAATAACCAACAAATATAAAACAAATAACTAATGACTAATAATGTAAAGCTAAGTACTATTCAGATAACAAACATACAATTATAAGATAATAAAAAAAATAGTCAAGCAAGCATCAATATCAAGAAGAAAGAGAGAGAAAAAACACATTGAAAGCTAAGAAACATGTGTTTCGGTAGAGCAGGGTAAAACCTTCTGATTTTCTCGTCATTTTGCTTGCTTATCTATTTGGTTCAAGAGAAACAATGAAGCAAAGAAAAAGAAATCAAAAATGGACAAGGTCGTCGGTCAAGCGGATAAGACGGGACTGAAGAAAGGGGTGAGTGGACCTCATGTTGATTCCATTTCTCAAATCCCAAAGTGAAAAGAAATAGAAGAGCATTGGAAAAGGAGAGAATGGGTTCTAGCCCATTTGGCCGCCGTCGTCTTCGATGCACGGAAGAAGTGCAGCAACGCGAACTGATGCACATAAAGGGGAAGAATAAGAACATATGGTTGTCTTCTCTAAGTTACGGATAAAGAAACTGGTTCTCCAAAATCACCTAGAAATTGGATTTCTTACAATCTCGTCTCATTAGATCACATGAAAACCAACGTAAACAAAAAAACTATATATCGAGGAAATAGCGGCATGGTGATTGCGCGGTACCAGATTGAATCTTTGAGCCAAATATTCAGCCACTAAACTGGATGTCCGTTGCGAATTCGCGATGATAAGAGAAGGATGAGAAAGGGGAGGGATATATCTCGGGACGGGTTCCACTCCACAAAAGCCAAGAGAGAGAAGACAGACAGAGAAACTGAGAAAGGGTTCGGCTTCTCCGAGGCAGCTGGCAACCTAAGGAAACAGAGAATTAATAGAGGCAACTGCGATCTCTCCCCTCTTCCATGCACCCAGCCTAGTTATTATGCTAACTGCATAAGTTGTTAGTATATACTAACTAATATGCCAAATACACTTGCATAGCCAAAATTTTGACGGTTTTCCCAAATATAGCCACTTTTGGCTAAATATAAAAAATAACCAATTCCGTCCAATTGTTTGACGGTGTTAATTAACGTGCTGACTAGACTAACAGCAGTGGTTGACGTGGCATATTTTATTAAAAAATAATGTTAGATGGAAAATAATTAAAATTTTATACTTATATTTTTAATCAAATTAAATTAAAAAAATAAAAAAAATAAATCTATTTCTCCCCACCACCACCTCCTCTTCACCTTATCAATACTTCCTACCAGAAGCTTCCTCTTCTCCAATCTCCACCATGCGAGCTCTCAATCCATCTGCCCCATTCACCACCTTCCTCCCGTCAACCCTTAGCAGAGGTTCGAAGACCCAATCCCTGCTCTGCCTCTCCAAATCCAAATCCACCGTCCACTTCGATTTCCTCGCCAGTTCCTCCGCCGCCCCATTCAAATCCCTAGTTCCTCTTAGATACTCTGTTCCTGCCTACTCATCGAAGGATCTCTCCTCTCCAGTCCACGATTCCTCCGCTGCATCTGTCGTCTCCAGTTCGGGGAAGTCTCAGAAGAATCGCCTCCGAGATGGGGAGACTCTCTACGGACTCTTCTTGCTCAGCTTCTCCGCTACCCTCGCTAAAATCGCCGGCCTCGCGGGTGACGATTTCGTGCTCGTCGACATGGAGCACGACCCCAGCAGAATCACCGAGGCTTTCCACTGCATGCGAGCTCTGGCAGCCACTCGTATCAAATCCCTAATCCCCAATCCCCGCCGCCACCAAACTTCCACAAATCTCCGCCGCCGTCACCTCTCCGCACATCACATCCTCATCCTCACCACCAACGAAGGAGAATCGAGCGCAAGTAGATCCCTGCCCGCCGCTCGGCTATAGGAACCTCGTCCCCGGGACGAGATCTCTTCATCGTCGGTGGCACGGCGGTTCCACCTGCAACTTTAAGCTTGTGGCTGCCGCGGGGGTTGAGAATGGAATCAGGCGTGGATGGATCAAGTGGAAAGAGACGGTGAGTCAAGTTTGACCATAAAATTGGTTCTTCTTCTCCGCTAGCTGCAACAGAGGAGGAAGAAGATGGGTAGAGCCGAGAGAGGACCCAGAGTGGAATCGATTCTATCGGCGAGATCCTAGGGTTGGATTCCAGGTTTTGAATTGGGTCATTTTTTAGGAGGCATCATTTTCTGGATTTACTGGTCGGAGGTTGAAGATGATGGTTAGAGGGCTTGGGTGAATGAAAGGGTGAGATAGATAGAGAGAGAGGTTGGACCAGAGGGGAGAAAGAGACAGAGCAGTGGGAGAGATGTTTTGTTGGTGAAGATGAAGTCAGGGGAAAGAATATGGCATAAAAAATTTTAAAAAATAATTTGTTAAAAATTTAAATTTTTAATGTGACGTGGCATCCCACCTGTCAATGGATGCTGAGGTGGGAAGGAAAGACACGTGAGGTGGCAGCCACATCAACTGTCCATTAAATAGACTAACGGTGTCATTGACGCCGTTAAACTATGTAACGGAAATGGCTATATTTGTCATCGAACTTTCAAAAATCTGGCTATTTCTGGTATTTCCCCAAAATTGGCTATATTTGTCACAATCGTCAAAGTTTTGGCTATGCAAGTGAATTTGGCCTAACTAATATCCAAAATGTATGAACTAGTATCCAAGTTTGCGGATTTTGCTAAAGTATCTAGATAGCATAGACTAGTATTCAACACATCACAAACTAGTATCCAGATAGTAGATACCAACTCAACCAACTAGTATTCAATATGGATACTCTTATAGGTTATATGGATACTCTTATGTGTTATCTAGATACTAATTATGTTATGTTTGGATACTATTTTGTGTTGTCTAGATAATAGTTTGTGAATTTGGGATAATAGTTGATTCATGGTGGATATGAGTTAGCAAAATTTGAATACTAGTCTGTGCTCTATAGATACTTTAGTACTTGGATATTAGTTCATGTAATTTGGATATCAGTTAGTATCTGCTAACGAATCTTCAAGTTAGCAGATTAACTTTCCCCCATGCACCGGTCAAGAACAAAATATTAATTAAAATAAATCAAAATAATATGAGCCAATGAGAGGAGAGAAGAGAAGAATTGCGGAAGATGGGGAAACCCCACCGAAGTGAGTGGCGAGAGGAGATGTTCCGAATTTACAATAAAAACCTTCCGCACTGTGCGGCCATTTCAGCAAAGGCTGACGTGGCAAAATCTGTTTTTTTTTTTACATTGCTATATAGTATTTTGTAGATAGATAGGAGAGAGAAAAAAGAAGGAGGAAGTCATTTATGTTATTGCATAATAGTTGCCCCCAGTTATTTGGCTTATATATACGATTTGCTAATTAGCACTCAGATGCCTGCAAATAGAGGTGGTAATTTCAACATAATCCACTAAAAATTCTAATGAACCCAATCCATTTTATCTAAATTTAATTAGATTTTGTGAATTTATGAAGTGTTGAAGTAGTACAGTTTGATATATATTATTAATTTTTATAACAATTCATATCTAGATTTTATTTTTTATGAAAAATAATGTAAAAAATAAACGACATTTTAATAGCTAAATTTTCAAAATAGTTCAAGTTCAAATGTCACTTAATGCACCAATCCAATTCATTAATTCACTACTCTATGAAATCCATTCCAGTTTACACCTCTACTTGCAAACAATCAAATCTTCAATCTAATATTTAATAATGGATTGTTACTGGTATAGGTGTCAATCGGGCGGGTTCGGGCGGGTTCGGACTGGGTTCAATCGGGTTCGGGTTCAAACGGGTTGCGGGTTAGTCGGGTTGCGGGTTCATCGGGTTCGGGTTCAAATGGGTTGCGGGTTATTCGGGTTGCGGGTTCATCGGGTTCGGGTTCAATCGGGTTGCGGACAAATCGGGTTGCGGGTTCATCGGGTTTTGGGTCGGGCGGGTTGCGGGCGGATCGGGTTTCGGGTTGTTCGGGCCAGCGCATCGAGTAACTTACTCATTACTCGTTACCAACTTACACATTTTATTACACTAATTTAAAATATTTTTCTCAACTTTTTAACCAATTTATTCTACGTCGTATATATATACACTTAATTTAAAAAAAACTAGTCAAAATGTTAAATCAATTTGTATGACTTGCAAACTTGTTATGTAATTAATCATAATTGGTAAAGTACACTAGCTAATAATAATGGTGATATCAATATTTGCAACCAAAAGACACCATTAATTGTTTATTTGATATTTTAGTATTATTTCAGTAGTAATTGGATTAAAGTATCTTGTTTAGTATAACCATGCAAATATGGTATTTGGTTTGTGGTATTTGGCAAAAGCATAGTGATAAAAGGAGTTATTCGAAATAACTCATTGCCCAAATAACTTCAGTAAACTATTGCCAAACGAGTTATTTGTAAAATTGTTCGAATTGTCCTAAAGATTAACTATCAAATTTAGTAAAATTATTGTGACTTCAATCATAACTTACTGAATAACATATATCCTATACAGTTAGCCTTATCCTGAATCGATAATATTAAATTAGTATATCTCACATAATTTGTAAGGAATATAACATATATGATATTAACTAACTACTTAAATATTTGCAATATACAAACCACACAATTACTATATTGAAATTGTGCATATAAGTACAAACGTGCATAACCTATATGCCGAGAGCAGAAGAAAGGAAGCAGGGATTCGACTGTCTTCAGTCCTTTCTAACCTAGAGGCGACGAAGACGGCAAGGGAGCGGAGGGGACAGAACCACTGGAAACAGTCTGGTGGTGGAGATAGGGATTTCCCTTCTCACTTGATTAAAATATTGGGGGAGGTGGGAGGGAATTTTCAATTTTGGGATGGGAGGGAATTTCAATTTTGGGATCAAATATTGGGGGAGGTGGGAGGGAATTTTCAATTTTGGGATGGGAGGGAATTTCAATTTTGGATCAAATATTGGGGGAGGTGGGAAGGAATTTTCAATTTTGGATCAAATATTGGGGGAGGTGGGAGGGAATTTTCAATTTTGGATCAAATATTGGGGGAAGGGGGTTTATGGGAGGGATTTTTTAAAAAAAAATGGGTTTGCAAGGGAATTTTTGAGCAAATATTTGGGAGTTCTGAATTTTGCATTCAAAAAATTTTCATAAACATCTAGTTCTTCCTTTCTTTGATATTTATTATTATAGATGATAAATTTTATACTGATTAACTAGTTTGTTGTTCGATTCGTTGGTCGGAATGTCATTTGAATATGATATATTTAAGATGTACATTCACAAGTTAAACTAATTGTTAAAATCAAACTAATTAATAAACTATAAAAATCAAAATATCCAACATAAAGCATAACCATGAATAAACCCTAGACCCTAGCCCTAAACCCTAACCCTATACTATAGTTATATGTTATGAAATTGTTAGTATAAGCTATAACGTATGTTATGTGAAGAATGTAAGTTGAGTCAATTTTATATTCGGTTATTGAGAAGAACATACGTCTTATTACTCCAAACTCTAAACCACGAGTCCACTACCGTATACCCTATACACTAACCTTAAACCATGAAATATAGTTATGTGTTATGAAATTGTTGGTATAAAGTATAAATTATAACGTATGATATGTGAAGAATGTTAGTATAATACCCGTAAGTATTTTATACGTAACTTTTATGAATCTTCTTATTATTGGGGCTAGGGTATGAATTATGACTGATGTACTATTATGAATCTTCGTATTCTAGGTTAAAATTTTGACAATGTTATGTGACCAGTTATATTATGTGTGGAAGAAAAAATGTTGTAATTATTAGGTACTGATATATGATTGGCTTAATTAAGCCAATCATGTTTTTCATATGTATGTGTTATCTATATATATTATTTATATACATCAACCAAATGTAAAAAATGTTGACAACCCTCCTAGGATTTCTACTTATCTACCGAGACAGTGAGACTATTATGTGATTCAATTAAATGACAGTTTTTATTTGTCAACACAAAGTAAACCTTTGTTCTTGGTGGGAAAGATGAAAAAATAATAGGGCAAGTCACATAAAATATATATATATTATCTACATATAATATTTATGCACAAAAATATATTATGTAGTATTATTCGTGCCAATCGGGCGGGTTCGGGTTGGGTTAATCGGGTTCGGGTTAGTCGGGTTACGGGTCAAGCGGGTTGCGGGTCAATCGGGTTGCGGGTCAATCGGGTTTGGGTCAAGCGGGTTGCGGGTTAAGCGGGTTGTGGGTCAAGCGGGTTACGGGTCGGGCGGGTTGCCGGCCTTTGACTTTTAGTCTAATCGGGTTGCGGGCGGGTCGCGGATCGGGTTGGTTGGGCGGGTTACTCGGGTCGGGTCATGTTTTGACACCTATAGGTGAAAGAGAGACGACCATAGAAAAAAGGGAAGAAAAAAAAAAAGAAGAAGAAATAGGCTGAAAGTGAAAAGGAAGGAGAAAGACTAAATTTCTCCCAAAAAATAGCACACCCAAAGCGATGATTACATGTGAACTTACCCAAATTGCCCCTCTAGCAAAACTACCACCACCATCAGATTGACAAAAACATAAATGGACGGAGATGGAAGGGTTATTATGGTGCTAATGTATTTTGTAGGTAGCATCCCATCTCATTCTAAGGTGCTTACTACTTAATTTTTCTTTTGTTATACTTAAATATTTTTTATCCTATCATGTTCCGTCTTTTATGATCTTAAAATTACTGAATGTTATTTTTTAAGAATATTTTGGTGAACCAACCTTACTTAAAATATTTTTAATCTAACAAGATGAATTTTGATATTTTTACACGTTTTTATAGAGATGGATCGGAACCTGATAGTGCATATTCATTATCCTACCCAAATAGTTTTGATTTTAACCGTTCTCGTATTCATACAAGAATCTGGTAGAATTTCAAAACAATTCTCATATCCGATCAGATTTTAGGTATTCACAATTATTCATAGATAACATTTTTTTCTTTATAACCTCAACTAACATGTTAAAAATTACACGACATTACAAGTGAAAAATTATAACAGTAAATTACTAGATTGAGGAAAATTAGTTAAAAACATATAATTTCATGAAAATATTGTATATGAATGATGAATCTAAAATATGTTGAGAAACACGATGGAAATTATTAAAAAAATACATATACATGTGTATAATTGGGCGAGTTCGGGTTGGATAGTGAGATAGCCATGCCCACCCATCACCTGCAATACTCAAGTTCGGATTTTACCTATAACCATTAAAAATCCTTTGTGTTTGGGTTTTACCCTACGATTGATTGAGTTCGTGTGTGTAACATCCAGAACCTCGGATAATTTTTTTTTCTTCCTAGTAGAGGACGTATATTGCACGATTCGAGACTGGAAAAAAAATCGAGAAGTTATCCTATACGAGGTAGGATCAACGATACCACTTGAAAACATCAAAAAGTGCAACAAAAATAAACTGTTAGCTATAGGAATCGAACCTCTGACCTAACCAGTTAGACTATGATGGTTTCAGTGATACAAAAGGAGCTGAGTCATTAATGAGCTAATGACGCAGGCATTGCACCAGCAACTAGCTTGTTTATGGAGCCGGCTTTTGAACTAGTTTCTTCCTTTCAAAGCTACTGCTCCTTAGAAGGCCGCCCCAGCAACCCGCTACGAATTGTCCTAAAGATTAACTATCAAATTTAGTAAAATTATTGTGACTTCAATCATAACTTACTGAATAACATATATCCTATACAGTTAGCCTTATCCTGAATCGATAATATTAAATTAGTATATCTCACATAATTTGTAAGGAATATAACATATATGATATTAACTAACTACTTAAATATTTGCAATATACAAACCACTCAATTACTATATTGAAATTGTGCATATAAGTACAAACGTGCATAACCTATATGCCGAGAGCAGAAGAAAGGAAGCAGGGATTCGACTGTCTTCAGTCCTTTCTAACCTAGAGGCGACGAAGACGGCAAGGGAGCGGAGGGGACAGAACCACTGGAAACAGTCTGGTGGTGGAGATAGGGATTTCCCTTCTCACTTGATTAAAATATTGGGGGAGGTGGGAGGGAATTTTCAATTTTGGGATGGGAGGGAATTTCAATTTTGGGATCAAATATTGGGGGAGGTGGGAGAGAATTTTCAATTTTGGGATGGGAGGGAATTTCAATTTTGGATCAAATATTGGGGGAGGTGGGAGGGAATTTTCAATTTTGGATCAAATATTGGGGGAAGGGGTTTATGGGAGGGATTTTTTTTAAAAAAATGGGTTTGCAAGGGAATTTTTGAGCAAATATTTGGGAGGTCAAGCGGGCTACGAGTCGGGCGGGTTGCCGGTCTTTGACTTTTAGTCTAATCGGATTGGGGGCGGGTCGCGGATCGGGTTGGTTGGGCGGGTTACTCAGGTCGGGTCATATTTTGACACCTATAGTTACTGTACACAAAGATCATTTATTGTTTTTTAATACAGCAAACAGGCCGACGTCGAGGAATGTCGTTTGATTTCATCTAGCCACTATGCTCCCAATTCCATTATCCCATACAGCTACAACAAGAGCCAGTGCGCTCTGACTATCGTATTTACATAAACCTGGTTGTTAAAGCATACTATAGATTCTAGTTTCGATGTAAAAAATCAGTAAAAGCCTCTAAATCCAGATGTGAAAAATGGTTTACTACACCCATATATAAACAATGGATGAAAGAAATCATCCCACTGGTTTGGGTTGAATTTGCTCAAAATCAAAGACTTCAAACATGAGGCGCCGGACGTCTGGTTTCCCATACACGGTGTACGACAGCCCATGAAGGGCTTGCTGAACCGAGGTAGTGGTTGGGTTCTTCATCCTCCTGTTGTGTTCGTACCTGTCTTGGACCTGCTCGGCATAGACCATGTACTGGTGCAGTCGTTTCTCCCTCAAATACCTCCCACAGAACTTGTTCATCAGAATCCGCCGGTGTCTGTCTGCTAGGAATTTCCCTGGAGCATCTAGATGCTTCATCAGCAGCCTCTCAGCCATAACAATGTCCTGAAAGATAAAAAAAACAATGCTCCTTCATGTGTTTATCATCCTTGTATGTTTGATACAAAAAACTAAGGGTTTCTTTTAGGCTTTCAGTACACATTACTTTCAGTTGTACAACAACAAGACATAGCCTAAAAGTTTATGTTTTGGCCCAGCACTACCTGAATCTTTTGGCCGACATACTCTAAGCGCTCGTAGCAAAATCTAGGATGTTCAAACTTGTATTTTGATGGATGCAAGAAACAAAGCTGCAACAAAGAAGGATCTGTCAGTGAAGAGTTCTTACTTACGAAGGTCATAGATATAATTTACCCATTTCTGTACAGGTGGTCCATGGTTACCTGCAATCCAAGCCCGAGTTCGATGTTCCTTGCTTCAGTAATATCTGGAATTCTATCAGCCATTTTCAAGGGATATCCAAGCGTGCGCATCACATGGGGTCTGCTTTCATAATCCCACAAGTTGCCCCTGAATCTGTGCATACCTGGTGGAACACAAGCCCTGAAAAGCCTTGGATGTGCAAATAGTGCATCTGGAGGAGGCTGCAGAGGAACCAAATATCAATCAATCAACAGATTCTGTTGAAGTTAACAAAACAAAAATGAAATCTAGTTCACAAAATCCAGCCAGAAAGGTAGAGCTCACCTTATAAGTAGCAACATCTTGCCAACTCAGCTTGTTGCCTTCGAATTCAACAGAAACATAATCGACATCTTCAAGTTGTCTTCTTAACTTTGGCTGGCAATCCTCTGCTTCAAGCTCCATCCCAAACACTTCAAAAAGAACACGGTACACTTCTGGCATCCCATAACACAAATAAATTGCACCAAACAAAGCCCAGAAAACTGACCTGCTCATACCACCCAAAAAAAAAAAAAAATCTAAGTATGAATATGAGTATGCTCCACACGTATTCGATTATCAACCAACCATAAGAATCATAATACCAAATCCCATTTCTCCACATCAGCAATGATTTATGGTAGCTGCATTCTATATTCTTATGGACAACCTCATGCAGTAATCTCTGCAATCAAGGAAGGACATACCTATCAAGAACCAGTATTTCCAAAGAACTTGAGTTGTTAGAATAGGCAAAAGTGTTTGAAGTCTACAAAGGCCCCTCAGACCATATGTTTGAATCGAATGTGAATATTAGAGGGCTACCAAGATTCCAACACATGGCCTTTCACCCATCAAAGGCTCGGATATCATATCAAGAACTCGTTCACCCAATAACTTGACTTGTCAAGAGGGGCTCAAAAATACATCTCGTACCATTCCTTTTCAATACCTAAACCTCTCATTTCTAATTTCTCACCTCGATGCAAAAAATCCCCTGCCTGGTACTATACCAAATGAAGCAAATCAAACAGTGGATTTTTCAGCACTTATCTATAATACTGTCACACGCAGAATATCAAATCCCAATAAACAGCAGGAATAGCAAGAACCATAGCAGATTCACTCTACCAACTACTTCATAGCCAGCAGTAGCCTACTCACAAGATCATAATATCCCAAAATCTAAATTCAAATGCCATAATATAAGAAACAACCATTTGAGCTTCTGAAATGGAAGCGAAAAACTCACTTCACCGGCGGCTCTCTTTCGTTCCTCTTCAGCTTGTCGATATCATCATAAGGGAATACCAAGTTGTGCAAGCTAGCAGCTTTGATCCACTTAGCCATATTCTTCTTCCCAATCAACCCATAAACTCTCTCCCTCATAGGCCCAGGAGACTCCCTAGGATATCTCTGCAGAAGAAACTCACACAAGGCCAATTCAAGCACGTACTGCCCCAAGAACCATAGTCTGGAATGCCCTGACCTCACATGCCTGGCATTCGTCCTCTCGCAGCTGGGATGCTGAAACGCCAAATACAGAAGAGTATCAAATTGCTTCGCTGGGTTATCATCGGCAAGCCCATCCGACGGCTCCAAAGGGTACCCTAGAGCCTGCTTGGCCTCCAGCAGGTACTCGTCCATCCAAGTTCTGTCAGCATTGTTCAAACGGGAAGAAGGCAAGCAAGAGCTCAGTAGAGGGAACTGCTTCAGGGACAACTGAGGGCTGTTGAGGAACCTCTCGGCGAGCTTCTTGTCGTCGAGCGGGGGTTTTAGGATGAACCGCTTTGGCGGGAGTTTCTTCTTTGGGGAAGTGAATTTCTTGCGCTCTTGGAGCTCTCTGAGAAGCCGCTGGGGGCTGTTTTGAGGGAGCTCCTGCGACTCTAGCGCTACGGCGAAGACGCGGATGGTCTTGTGCAAAGGTAAGTTTTTGGTGGGTAAGTGGATTTGGAGTGGGAATGGCGAGATGGAATGAGAGAAGCAGATTTCCGATGATTTGAGGAGGGGAGAGGTGAAGTAAGAGGAGAGTTCCATTGATGAGATGGAGAGAAATGGAGGTTTTGGGTTTTGGGGCGCACGCTGGAGAATCGGGGGATAAGGTGCGAGCTAACGACGACAGGAATAGCAAAGCCTGATAATGCGGTGCGTATAGGGTTTTTTTTCCCCCCCAAAATACACTTTTGTAGCCATAATTATTCGTGTTGTGACAAATATAGCCAAATTTTAAAAAATACACTTATATAGCCATTCCGTCTAAATGTTTACCGACACTGTCACTACTGCTAACTGGACAAACGGTTGTTGATGACGTGGTGATTTTTGTCGATGTGGCAATGTGACGTGAAATATATTTTTAATTTCATAAATTAAAAAAAAAACTACTTTACCCTTTTCACCCACCTCCATCCATCCATCTTCATCTTCCTCTTCTTCTCCACCCTATCACCTTCCTCCAGCTCGCCCCAGACCACTTTTATATTTCATTAATTAAGTAAATGAAAAATAAAAACGAAAAATCATCTCCCTGCCCCCACCCTTTCACCTTCCTCCAGCTCGCCCCGACCACTTCCATCATTGAAACACAAAGACGGTTAGAGTTAGTCAATAGAGTTGTAATACGACATTGATAGGAGAAGTAAAGTATAAAGATGGAGTCTTTTGGCAGTTTAATTAATAAATAAATTAATTTTATATTAATTAATTAATGTTTGAATTTTTTGAAAAGAAGTGTCCTTCCATAAAGGTAACTTCATTTTTTCTGTGAAAGGATGTGTCCTTTCGGGAAAGGTAACTACCTTTTATGTGAAAGGATGTGTCTCTTCGGAAGGAACTTCCAGTTTCACTACTATAAATAGATGACTGACATAACTCTTTTAATGACGAGAGATTACTTCTTCTTCCGGTTTTCCTTCTCTATTTCATAATCACAGAAGTCTGCAAGATTGCTGCTTCCAGACTTAAAAATTGAAGGGACTCCTGGGGGTGGTTTGCTCAAGTCTACCAGCAATTTGTAATGGGGGCAAATAACACTCTAAGGAGAGTGATCAATCACGCCTTCAATTCGATTCTTTCCTACCAGTTCCTGACAATCTTAGAGTGTTATTTCTTGAAAAATGGAATCTAGAGTGGAGAGTAAATTGAAGGCTTATGCTATTCATAAATGGATTTCGAATCAAAGATTTGTGCGTGTGATATTCAATGTCATATCAGTCATCATTGTCCTTTATTGTGGTTGGTTCCGAAGAGGAGAAGAGGAAATGTGACACTCAAGTCTCGACGGTCATTGGGAAAGGTTGACAAGAAGAAGGAAAGAAGCATTTGACACTTCAAATGGAGGACAGGTCTGATATGATCATTGGATTGTTACTGTCCATTTTAGTGGATGTGTGTAATGAGCAATTTCTTAAAGTGGTCGAAACTGGAAATGTGATATGGATATATACATATACTTACATATATATTTCTTTTTCAATGCAAGTGTTCCTGGAAATGTTTTGCTTTTGCATTGGTCATTGTGCTTTAATTAAAGCAATCGTGTTCATGCACCAATGGTGTATCTTTGATGCTTGATTGTTGTCCTTTCGTGCACATGATCAACACATTTTGGAATGATGAATGATTGAGTACCAAATTGATGATGTATTATAACCAATTCAGTTTGGTGTGAGATGGGAACGAACTCATAATATGAGAAGAGTTTATAGGAAATTCAATTTGATTGAATTCAAAGGAATTCATGTTGGAATTTTTGGAAAATGCAACACTTTGATTTATGTAATCAAATTGTTTTGAGTTGTGATCTTGAAGTAACTTGAAATAATGGTGAATAGCGTTTCCCCGGCATGATAATTTGTTTATCATGTATGTTATTTATGTCTTGGTAAAGGAAACTAAGATGGATCCTTATAGGGATTGAATAAGCTTGCCAAGGAATGATAATCATCAAAATAATCATCGTCAGAATTGTTTATGGTATATGTACAATATATCATTGGAAAACTATTTGACTTGTGATTATGAATGTGAAGCTATTTGTACGAATTATTTGTGGTATATATAGACATATACCATTGGCAAACAATTTGGCTTGAGAACTAATTGAGACGAGTTTATTGGACTTGAAGTCTGAATTACTTATGGTATATGTGTGAATTTATACCATTGGCAAGTAATTAGACGATTGACTTAGAATATTCATTTGAATTGCTTGTGGTATACCAAGTTACCTTCATGAAATGTCATTGGTAAGTAATTAGATGGTATTTCCAATACAATCTGGAAATGCAACTGAATTACTTGTGGCATCTCAAATTGTTTTGACCAATACCATTGGGAAGTAATTAGATGATATTTCTAATGATATCTGAATTGTTTGTGGTATGCTAATTCAATTAGTTCATACCATTGGTAAACAATTAGATAAATGTAGTGGTTGTGAGAGTTCAAATGGAATTATTCCATGATAGTTCGGCAAATGGAAGAATTGTGGGGGAGATGTTTTTCATGCTAGTTGAATAAAAAGTGCTAGTGAAATAAATCTACAACGGGTGGATTTTACACTAGGTGATGGAGTTATTTATTGGGTTTCGAATAAACAAAAGGTGTGTTACACACTCCACTATGGAAGATGAATTTCTAGCCCTTCTGACGGCGGGAAAAGAGGCAGATGGCTAAGAAACATATTGTTAGATAAAGAGTTGTGGCCACAACCGATGTTAGCCATTTCTGTCTATTGTGATAGTGATGCTACTTTGTCTAAAGCTTATAGCAAGATTTACAATGGTAAGTCTAGACATAATAGCCTAAGACATGGTTATGTTAGATATTTGATTATTAATGTAATAATTTCTATTGTGTATGTAAGATCAAGCAATAATTTAGCAGATCATCTTGCCAAGGGATAGCCAAGAGGCATGATCTATGAGACATCCCAAGGGATGGGGTTAAGACCTTTTTGTGTAGTTAGAAGTAACGGGAACCCAACCTTTTCTTTAGGTATTCACTAATTAAAAGGTTCAATGTGGTAATAACAAGTTACTCTAATAGAGGCACTAATTTATTGTACAAATAAATTAGTCCAAAGAAGGGTGAGTTATAGAACTCTTGAGATGAGTTATAGAACTCTTAATGAATTCATTTGGAATGTCAACTATCTGAGCATTTAGAGTGGTGCCGCTCTAACAAAAGTAGAGGTCAACTTTTGTGTATGCTCATGAAACAGGATTAGCACATGGCCATAATAGTGCTACCCTAGTTGGTGGTTGTGGTTTAGAGAAGAGACAAGTACGTGTGTGGCATCTCCGGTTATAGCTTTGGATCGTGACTCCTAGGATTAAGCCCGTCACTGATTCGTTAACAACTTTGAGTTGTTTACACTAGGTAAAGGTTCAAATCGAAAAGATACCTGTATGATGCGTTACTTGTTCGAGGCAGGTATTCTCAACTCTTGTTGACTAAGTGGGGGATTGTTAGAGTTAGTCAATAGAGTTGTAATACGACATTGATGGGAGAAGTAAAGTATAAAGATGGAGTCTTTTGGCAGTTTAATTAATAAATTAATTAATTTTATATTAATTAATTAATGTTTGAATTTTTTGAAAAGAAGTGTCCTTCCATAAAGGTAACTCCCTTTTTTTGGTGAAAGGATGTGTCCTTTTGGGAAAGGTAACTACCTTTTATGTGAAAGGATGTGTCTCTTCAGAAGGAACTTCCAGTTTCAATACTATAAATAGATGACTGCCATAACTCTTTTAATGACGAGAGATTACTTCTTCTTCCGGTTTTCCTTCTCTATTTCATAATCACAGAAGTCTGCAAGATTGCTGCTTCCAGACTTAAAAATTGAAGGGACTCTTGGGGGTGGTTTGCTCAAGCCTACCAGCAATTTGTAGTGGGGGCAAATAACACTCTAAGGAGAGTGATTAATCATGCCTTCAATTTGATTCTTTCCTACCAGTTCCTGACAAAGACGACCACAGCAGCGCCGCCGCAAAACCCTTCCCTGCCGTCTAACTAAATGAAATCAAAGACTGCCGCCTTCGACCACTTGTCGTCGCTCTTCAAAACCGCAGTCCCAATTCGACGTCTCCGCTGCGAATTAGTTGGAGAAAGCGATGTCGAGTACTCCACAGACCCAACTTCTAAGGAGCTACTTCACGGGGAATCGATCGCCGTAAGTATTCTCCGTCATATTGGCCAGCATCAGATCTCAGCGATGCTTCACCAAGAATAGATCTCCCACTACTCGCATGATTCCGATATGATTTGGGGGGGGGGGTGTGAAGAAGAGGTCATCGGTTGGATTTTGGATATGAGAAGAAGATGGTGGAGGTAATTATCGACACAACATGGGGTAATTAAAGGGGAACTAATTAATTATATAATAATTTTTCTTAATCTGTTGGTGGAATCCAAGTCAATGATGACGTGGGCAAACCGAGTCTAGTTGGCGATGACATGTCGTCTAGGTGGAAGCCACATCACTTGGCAATGACGGTATTAGTGACGACATTAACGACAGTAACAGAAATGGCTATAGTTGACCATAAAGTTTTAAAAACTTTTAATTTATAGCTATATGAGTGTATTTTTCAAAATTTGGCTATATTTATCACAACGCGAATAGTTATGGCTATGAAAGTGTATTTTGCCGCTTTTTTGGGTGAGAAATAGCTTTGATAACACTGAACTTTTCCAAGAATGGCAAGGTTTCCAAACCAAGAATGGCGCATATACCTCGATGAAGTTCTTTCACCATCCACTTTGCCTCATTTGGTCCGAGGCATTTCATATATGTTCTTGAGAAGGACTTTTTACACAATTGTCTCTCTATCATGGTATAATGAGCTTCCTTCTTTTTAACGCTTTGGCTTGGACCGCGTCCTCGGGGACAACGTCCCTTTGTAAGTAATTTATAAGTGGAGAATGCCAATCGCGATCCTCCCCTTCTAGTGTCCTTACGTCATAGTTAGACGCTGCTTCCTTGGTAACTGTTACTTGGCGGTGTCCATCGAAATCCATTGCGGTTGCTAACTTTGATAAGGCACCCGCGTGATGATTTTCCTCCCTCCTGATATGCTCCAACTTCCATGTATCTAGTTGAGACAACATGCCCCTGACCTTTCCTGAGAACTTAGAGACCACTTCCTCCTTTACCTCATAGTTTTCCATCACTTGGTTAACTACTAGTAGTGAGTCAGAATAAATATGTAGATATGAGGCGGCTAAGTTTGTAGCAATTCTGAGGCCTCTGAGTGCTTCATATTCTGCCACGTTGTTGGTTTTTAGGTCATGGAATCTGTGCGAGATTTCATGTACAATTCCTTAAGGCGTTTCAATAATTATTCCCGCTCTCGCTCCTCCTTTTCCAGCGGCTCCATCGACAAAAAGCCGCCACAAATCTTTCATCCTTCTGGCCCTGCGGCCTTCATGCTCTCTTAGTTCGACCGCCCATTTCATCATTATTCTAGATACGTCCATTCCCCTCAAGATCTTTTTCAGTGGTTGATTTAAGAGCACCGTGACTTGGTGCCCCTGGAAATAGGGGCGTAGTTTACTTGAAGCTGAAATAACGGCTAGAACCTCCTTCTCGATTGGCATGTAACGCATTTTTGCCGGGAGAGGAGCTTTGCTAATAACGTAGACATGATGGTCTGAGCTATCTTCTGCTCTGCGCACTAAGGCAGAGCTGACTGCTTGTTCGGAGACCACCAAGTAGAGATATAACGGCTCTCCGTTAAGCGGAGCACTTAAGACTGGTGGCGAGGCCAACTGCTCTGTCAGCTGGAAGATAGCCTTGTCACACTCGACACTCCATTGGAGTCGCGATGGCGACTTCTTCAACATCTTAAGAAATGGGGAGCACTTGTCTGCTTCCATTGGGATAAAATGACTTAAAACGGTCATTTTACCATTCAACGCCTGTATCTCTTTGACTTTTTCGGAGGCTTTACGCTGAGTATAGCTTCTATTTATTTTGGATTTGTCTCAATCCTTGTGCTGGTGATCATGAATCCCAAAAATATCCTTACTTTCATGCCAAACATGCACTTGAACGGGTTTTAATCGAAGGCGTTCCCTTAAAAACACATCCTCAAGTAGGCAAACCGTTCAACGGGTGAAAATTTTACTTGTACTAGAGACAACTTAGCTTCACCTTGTAGGAGTACCCCACTAAGGATCACTAAAATCTCTTCCAAAACCCGATTTTGTGCAATGAACGGTGCCACACACGTTGGGCTTACCCCATGTTTAAGATTTCAATGATTTCGACATGGAGGACCAACTGCTTCCCATTTTCCATATGAGCACCCTGTTCGATACACGAGTCCATAAAACAATCCAAACAGAGTCACCATTACCACATGAATTCAACGGTCTTAGCTCAACTAATTCAAAGAATCAACTGGCACAACAGAGAGCTAGATAGGAAAAATCTTATACTTCAACATCCTCCATAGTGCTACACTACCTCCCTAGGTTGCACATTACTATAGAGAAGTCGATTCAAAGCATACTGAGTAGGCAATTTGCAAGGAATCACGTACTTGGAGCCCTCAAATTTAAAAATTTGGACAGTGGACTAGGCTCCAAGCACACAAACAGCCAAACATTCACCCGCATACATAATCGAACATCCCCCAACACTTAAGCACGACATTGTCCTCAATTGAGAAAAGATAAGGAGGGTAGAACGAAGTTACCAGATCAAGGGTGAATGATGATGGACGGGGCAGGCGGTGCATTCTAGGAAGAGAGAGTAATCAGAACGCAAACACCACACAAAATCTCACAAAGGTTGAGTTATTGACTCTAAAATCAAATAACAAAACTGACTCAACCGAGGAGAAATAGAGAAAGAAATGCAAACCGACTGGTTAGGTTGCCTCCCAACAAGCGCTTCTTTCACGTCGTGAGCCAGACAATGGCTCCTAAGTTTCGGTCCATGCTAGAACCTCCTTGAAGTTGAGGTTCTCATCAATGAGGTGGAGTCGCAAGTCACGAGCATGTGGTATGACTGGTGATGGAAGCTCGTGCACTTGATGCAGATGAAGTCTCCATCCTCGAGACCTCTTCTTCTCTTCTCTCGTCTCATTGCCCCAAACCATATATGACAACATCGATTGACCACCATCGCGTCCACCAAGAGGGACCGATGTCGATGTGGCCTTGGTCTGGCAAAGAGACACTGCAAATGGGTCCTTGCTAAGAAGTTCCTCGAAGTTTGGTGGAGATATCACATGTAACTCATGGCCGGTGCAGGCCTCTTCCACCTTAACTCCGTCCTCAGCCTGGACGCCAATTGCTTCTCCAACCCCCCTTTCTTCTTCATGTGGTATCACCCCTGGGAAATGATCAAGAACTCCTCCTGCTTCACTTTTGTCATCCTCCACAACTTCTTTCTGCACCCTTTCTTGCTCTTCTTCTTCTAGCACAGATTGGAGAGCAAGTCGTCATGTAATTTCTTCAATGAGATCATCTTGCATCTCCTCGCTCGGGCCCAGCATGTTAGAGCAGAAATAAGGAAATGTGTGATCTGCAACCAGAGGACTTTCCTGATCATGATTATCATGGGAGTTCTCTGTGATAACTTCTGTATGCTCCTCAACATCCCCGTAGCCTTTGTCATCCTCCACCTCTTCTAGCGTGGTAGCAGAAAGGTGATCTTGAGCAAGATGTGAGCAAACTTGATCCACCCACTCTGTTTGCTTCGCTGAGCGCTGAACAGTCTCCTCCATATCATGGAGAAATGAGGGATCAGAAGGGGCAAGGGCTTTGATTTGAAGATCCATCTTACTGCATGATCTCTCAGTGTCTCGAGCAAACTGCTCCACGAGAAGCCTTAATTGTTTGTTCGGATCTTCCAGTGAAGTGTAGCATGGCTCTGCAGAGTGGTCCATGAAGGCCGCCATGGGTAACTCCAGCTCCGATGGCCCTTCTGGTTGTGGGAGAAAGTCTTCTGGGTAATGAGGTTGTTCTTGATATGCCCAGGGGTCTGATTGTTCTCCGTAGTAAGGGGGTTGGTACTGGAACCCACTTGGATGGTGGTGGATACCCCCAATGGTTCCATAGTCTTTTCCTCCTTGATTGCTCCAGGGAGTCATGGGGTAATACCACTTGGATGGTGGTGGATACCCCCAATGGTTGGAGAAGCCATGAGGATCCATGATTCAGATCTGCACCAACAAAAACAAAAAACACCCAAGTGAAAAGCAAGGGTGGAAAAGAAAAGAAAAACGCTAAAGTAACAAACTTATGCCTTTCCTAATAATCTAGAAAGTCCCCGGCAACGGCGCCAAAAACTTGACTCGCTACGACACAACACCTAACAATGGACAAGTGTAACCAATGAAAGGGACTGCAGTATAGTTGCACAAGTAATAAATATCGAATCCACGGGTCTCTAGAGTTACTATTACTCAGCTTCAGTTCATTATCTAGCAAACTAGATTAAGGATTGATTTACTAAACTACTCTACTAAGTAATCTACTAATTACAAGTTGGGAACTCACTTAGGTATGATTCCCCCTAGCTCCTCAATTAGGTCCAAGTTGCAATTACCTTTGGTTGGTCTACTGTTGATTAAACTGCGGAAGATCCTAAATTAGCTTGAAATCTCTTAAGCTGACCAAGCCCTCTTAGACAGAATACCCGGCAGACGACTAGCCTTCACCGGGATAGACTGCTAAGGCGATTCACACAGATCTCCACTACTGGAATGAATTCCAGTACAAAGCAGTGAATTGATTGACTCTCGCACAACCAATTCACCACTATCAATCAAGGAAGCTCTCTTAACCTAATCAGATTCTATCTATCATAGGTTAACGCAGAAATCAAGAGAAGATGATTAGGCTTCAATTGATTCTATAAATCATGCCTCAATCGATTATAATCAAACAATATAGCATCCAAAACTTCATACAAGAAAGATCCTAACACATGGAACTAGGGTTCCTCAAAACCTAAGTGAAGGGAAGTTACTCCATAGAGAAGAGAGAGACTGCAAAAATCTTATCTAGATCTTCAATCTCCATCTCCAAGCTTGATTCCCGAGCTCCAATGGCGAAGAAATCCTCCAAAATAGCTCCAAGAATGTTCCCAAGTCGCTCTCTCTCTAGGGTTCGTCCCTTGGGTGTTTGGGAACCAAAAACCCAGCTCTCCCCTTTCCTTTGGCTAAAAATCGAGTTTTAAACAGAAATTCCTGATCACGCGGCCAGGCCACACGGCCGTGTGGCTTTCCCAGCTGCCCGTGTAATGGCTCGGTGATTTCCACACGGCCACGACCCACACGGCCATGTGGAATTCCAGGATGCCCGTGTGGCTTGCTCAACCTCTGTTTAATGCTTCGTTTCTCCCTCGTCCGGACTCCGAATCAGTCCCCGTTTGATCCCACACGCTCGTAGTCTCGTCCTCTTTCTTTTCCTGACAAGATTTCATGATTCTTTGTCCATAAAGTGAGGTAGAAATCCATTATTCTTCAGGTCATGCCTGAGTTTCTACTCCCGAATCGTTAATTGATCTCTGATTGATTTGAAACTTGCGTCTATGCTTCACTTTATGTGCTAGGACCTGAAATGTGACAAAGGAACACAACCTAGCATAAAATAGGACAAATATGCAATAATTCAAGCTCAAACAATCAAGAAACAAAGGGGGAAAACATGTGCAAATACCGAGTCATCACCTAGCCACCTTTCTCCTTTGGTTCGTCCTTTCTCTCTCTAAAATATGAAGAAGAAGGAGTTTTCTCACCTTGGCCCCCCCTCTCTCTTCCTTTCAGCTCATGTTTTATACTGGGATCGGGCTTAGTTCACGGCCGTGAACTCGGAGTGCTGTGTCGAAACACACCGCTTCACTCACTTGAGTTCACGGTTTGCACTCAAAGTTCATGGTCTTGGTGACTGTGAACTCACTCGGCGTCAGTAACCTCAGTAATCGTCCTGGACGCTTCGCGGTTCACGATTTGTGTCTTCTGTTCACGGCCTTAGGAGACTGTGAACTCCAATGGTAAACTGTGAACATGGCCTGAACCACCCTCTTTGCCCGGTCTTTGCTACTTTTCCTCCAAATTTTGACTCGGGGGCTGGTTTCACCTACTGGATCCTGAAACACACTGAAACATACAAAACCTAGCGTAAAACCAACCTTTTAGGAGCACAAATGCCACAAACTCCCAAGGCAAACGAGGATAAAATGTGTGCAATTAGGTCTGAATCATGTATCCTTGTGAACTCTGGCATCTTCAAATATCCGACGTCCTTGCAAGATCGCCGACCTTGGTCGTGTAAATTTCCTCCTGCACAAGCGCCCGCTGCTATCTTCTCATATGGCGATGTGATTCGACCGGAAAGAAGTGGTCGGAGTAAGGGATAGGTATGACAGATGATAGTGACCAACGAGAACGGCTGAACTCCAAAAAATCCATCTCTACATCACCTCTGATGGTGCAACTGCCTTTTTCAGCGTCAGGGAAGGAAGGCACAATGAAGGGTCGGGAGGGAGAAGAAGACGTCGACTTTCTTCAGTGGGAAAGAGGGGATTGGTCAGAGAAAAGAAAGAAGAAGAAGTTGCAACATAGGTACATAATTGATTGAAGCAGAGGAATAACCCAAAATGGAGGAGGGTAGGTTGTGGAAAAATGCAATAAAAATGAGGGATTGTGAAATAGTTGGTTCCCATAAGCTATTTTAAAAACCTGCATTTAAGAGATTTTGAAATCTCTAATGCTCACAATCTCTCATCTTCCCAAACACATGATTGTATTAAAATCCTGCATAATGAGGGATTTTTGAAAATCCCTCACAAATCACTCTCTACAAACCTAGATCCAAACGACCCCTTAGGGTTTTCATTTAACAACCAAGCAAAGCAAGAAGAGTAAATTTGTTTAGGTGTTTTTTCAATTTATAAACGCATAAAAGTAAAGATACGTTATTGTAGAAGGTAGTAAACTCTAGTAGTATCATTCATGTTGGGGCTCAATCACAACATGCATAAATGATTCATCTATTGTAACACCATATCCCTTCCTCTAAGGACACTCTCTACTCGAGCATTCGCCTCTTGCGATAGAGATTTAACTATGTTGATGCAAAGGAAGGTACCACTATTGATGATGACAAGGAAGGTACCACCACCATATTGATGATGACAACATCTCTTTAGCTGCAGACTCTCCTACTTCGACTAGGTTATCACTCATACAGAGTGTACAGAGAATTTGAATATTTGTGCATCCTTACTAAGCTAATGGGTCATACCTTATATTTATTGGGGAAAATCCTGGCCTAAAACATCCTAAACCGACTAAGAAAACGTCTCCTAAACCTTGTGGGCTAAGTAAACTTCTCCCATAAGGATTAGGAGTGTCGGCGGCCGTCACTCTTTTTTTCATGGTCTGGACTCCTCTAACCTTGGATGACTCTTCCTTCCAATTTGGGCGCGTCTTGGCGAGTTCTTGGATAGTGGCAGCTGGCCCCATTGTTGGGCTGCTGCTCGTTCATTCTTCAACGTGGAACGAGTCTTTCCTCCTATGGGCTTATCTTGTGATTTTATAGCAACTCCTAGTAGACTTCTCCATCATTGGACATCTTCTTTCTTATGAAAGCTCATTAATCTTCTCTTTATAAATTCTTTGGTGTTACATCCCACTCTTTCCAAAAGTCAAAATGACTATTATATCCTTGGGGAATTGGTCAACATTCACAATAATATTTAAAGGGACTCAAAACGTGAACTAGCGGTTCGAGCGGTGTCGGATTTCGATATAAAATGATGAAGTTATGGACGTAGTTAGGTTCTGAGGTTGAACCAAGACCCAGTCAAAGAGCTGGGCCAAGTGAGCCTGGGTCTGGTCCTATGGGGGACCCATTCTGGAAAATTAGTGTTGTGGACTTAGGTTAGTGTTTGGAAGAGAGGAGAGAATTGAGCCAATTCTGCTTCCATCAGTGGGCTTTAGTGAGGCCCAATGCGAGATAAGTGAAAGTAAAGAAAGAAACGGGCTTCGGGCCCAGAAAGAGATAAGTGAAAGTCAAAGAGCTGGGTGAACTCGACCGCAAATAAAAGGGAGAAAGGGGAAAATAGAACAGTGGAAGGGTTGGTCATTCGCTTGGAATTGGGTGTAACGGAACCAATAATTCTGGGTGGTAACTAAATTGTGTGAATCTGGAAATTTGGGGCCAAATTGATAAGACTCAGAAATTACGATTACCATTCTGTAATTTGCCATCTTGGGGGGAAAAAGGTAATTTTCCAGAATTTCATGGGAATCTTAGGGAGGGTTAAATGAAGGAATTTGGGATTGAAATTAACCGAATTGGAGGTCGTTTGGCTAGTAATGCTAGTAGAAAGAATTATTAAGTTTTACCTAATTACTTAATAGGAGAAATTGCAAAAGGAGGATAAGCATGAGGAGGTTGATCATGCGACTTTGGACTTTGATGTGGATCCACCGACAATAATGTGGGGTCGTGTCAATTGATCAAGTTCGGCCAATAAGGTGAGAGTAAATGGAGTAATATCTCAGTCATAGGTCTTTTAGTTTATACTTTTACTTTAAGTAATGCTAGTTAATTTTTATGACAATAGAATACAATAAAATTAGACTACCCTATAAGTCCCTTCCCATCCAAGAAACAAAATCAAATGAAAGCAACTCTAAACTAGACAGAGAAAGGGCTTTTCTTGTCACACTATGGGCAGCCCGATTGGCAGTTCTTGGAACCACACAAACCTCTAAGCCTATGTCTAGGGTAGCAATCATCTGACGACAGTCTCTTAGCACCGGACCTCCAACAGCACCTGACTTTATCCCTCTGAGAAGCTGACGAACGACGACTTTAGAGTTCCCTTCTAGGATGACTTCTCATAGGCCGAAGTGACGAATCAAGTTTAAACCATCTCGGGCGGCTAGTAGTTCGGCTAGGTACGGGTTGACGATCGCAGAATGTTGAAGTCCAAAAGATAGGAGCGTACGGTCGTCTGCAGACTTCAACACCAAGCCTGTAGAACTACCTTGGGAAGGATGGATAGTTGTGTCGAAGTTGAGTTTGAGATGGCCAAGAGGAGGGGGAGACTAGGAAGGAGGCACTGAAGGGAAGATCGTTGGTGGGGGAGGAGGGACAAATGGATGGGCGGAGGAGAATTCTTGTACTTGGTGAGCAAATTGAGCAGCGTGTACGGATGGCAGTAGTTGAGTATACTCAAAAACTACTGTGTTTCGAGATTTTTAGATTCTCCACAGTAAACAAACGACTTGTAGAATTTGGTATGGGTTGTACATAGAGTACATTACTCTCCGCCACCAAGTGTTAAAATTTTCTTGCGCGGCATGATTAAGGATATTCTCCAACTCTACCATTCACCATAGTCGAGTAGCTAATGGGCAGGTAAAGAATAAGTGTTCCAATGTTTCGGCTTGAAGGCAACAAATTAGACAAAGGTCTGAAACTGGTACATCTCGTGCTTTAAGGATAGCCATGGTAGGTAAGATAACTCTTAAAACTTGTCATATGAAGAATTGAAGTTTACGGGGAATTTGGAGTTGCCATGTTTTTTTTCCATAAGCCCTCATCTATCACTTGAGCTATACTCTTAGCCCCATTTGATAAAGCCAAGGTGATGCCCATATGGTATCCTCTTTTGACTGAGTATTCGCCATTAGGAGTAAAATGTCAAACTCTCCTATCTGGTTGGTCATGTCTAGCAATAGGAAGAGAGCAAATTAGTGATACGGGAGAGAAAAGTTCATTGATCAAATGTTCCCGTTCTTCTTTTTGATGGAACCTTTGATTTGAGGCGGGTCCAGATCGATTGGGTTGGTGTAATAGTGCACTGAAATATTTGCACAATAATGCCTTAGCTTCTGTCTCTCTCCCTTGAGAAAATAAGAAAGAAATGGGACGAAAACAAGAAGGCCCCTCACCTACACCCAACGCTCCTCTTCCCATTCCGCCAAGACCCCTTTGCTCAGAAAAGAAAACCCTTCCCTTGTCATCCATCTCATCGACCCTCTCCTTTCCTCTCTTTCTCTCGCCATTATTTCTCTAGTCTTGTCTTTTTCCTTCGCCCGGCCAACAACTGAGAGAATTAGTGAGATGAAAATGGTGGAGGCAGAAGCTCCAAAATCAGCTCAAAAGATTGAAACTTTTGTGGATGTGAACCAATCCCACGTGGATACTTGTATAACTATTACCTGCCAGTTAACATGCATCCATCTCATCTTTCTTCTTTGTCCAGTGTCCACTATACTGTTATGCATAAAATCTTCTGCCAAGGTCATTCATCTCATCTCAGTTAAAATACAGACTCTGTAATTCCATTCCATCAAAATTAATTTCCCGTTTTGATGGGTACCCATCAAAGGCCTCATTTGGGTATTGCACTGCGATGAGGATTTCCTATATTTGCATGGCTGAGAATTGGAGCTGCTTATTTGTCTCTTTTTTTTTAAAATATTTTTACCTTTGCAGTTGGGAAGGAGGGCTGTTCTCCTGAAACCATAATTGAGTGGTTTGAATAAACGGAGAGAAGGCGGGGGGACACCAGATGTGTACAAAGAAGTACTGGGAGATGGATGTTTCACTGCAACTACACAAAACCCACCTGGAGGATTAATTGCAGCTAAGGTGTTTGATAATTTGACTGACTCAGGGGAGCAGCATTTTTCTTTCGACTGTCATTATTTGAGAAAAAAACCCAGATCGAGATATGGTTATTACTATAAAGTACTTGCTTTTTCTCTCGCGGGAATGGCGGAGCTGCAGGAAGTTGCGCCAACCACAACAACTGTTCCTTTCAATATAACATGTCGAGAAAGAAGGAGCTTCTTTCTGCTACAATGAAGAGGACCAGCGACTGGTTCGCTTTCTACCCCCTTTTCTGATTGTGGCTTTACTACACTCAATAGATTCAATAATCTCTGGATCTTCTTCAACAGGGTGTTGTCAGAAAAGGTTCAGGTCCTTTAGTTTTTCCTTAATTAATAACTACTTATGGTTGCACATCCATTTTTTGCTATCATTTCCCAGGATTTTCTCCCAGGAAATTTCCAGCGATGTTACAGTTTATGCTGGTGGAGCTCCTTTCTCATTGCATAAGGTACAAACTTGTTGAGCAAATACTTCTTCACTCCTGTAGTTTGCTTAATCTATGTAGCAATTTAACAGTAAAGTAGTGGTCTGATTTTTTTTATACCTTTTTCCCGGTTGATTAAATGCCTCCAAGGTAATCTTAACAGGTCACCACATTTGAAGCTCAGTCTTTTCTCTAAATTTGTGATATCGACAACTTTCAATAACCCATTGGCTGCTTAATTCCATATCTACTTGCTTCAATTGCAGTTTCCATTGGTGTCAAAGTCAGGCTACATAAGAAAGCTAGTGTCTGAAGCTAGTGATGCTGATCTCTCGGAGATTCAAATCCCAGAAATCCCCGGCGGGCGAGATGCATTTGAGCTCGCAGCAAAGTTCTGTTACGGAATCAACTTCGAGATAGGCACAGAGAACATTGCAGTCCTAAGATGCGTGGCTGAGTATCTGGAGATGACCGAGGACTACTCAGTTGGAAACTTGGTGTCGAGAGCTGAAGCCTATCTAAATGAGGTAGCCCTCAAGAGCCTCGCTGGGGCAGTTTCTGTCTTGCATCATTTGGAAAGCCTCGGCCATATCGCAGAGAAAGTGAAGCTGGTGAGCCGATGCATAGATGCCATAGCACTCATAACCTGCAATGAAACCCAATTCTCAATCTCAGCCAGGTCTGATGGTGGAACTACAATGGAGGCCCAACCAAAGCCCATAGTTGATTGGTGGGCTGAAGATTTGACTGTTCTCAGGATCGATCTATTTCAGAGAGTTCTGATTGCAATGGTGTCAAGAGGGTTCAAGCAGTATGCCCTTGGCCCTGTACTCATGCTCTATGCTCAGAAGTCCCTCCGAGGTTTGGTAAGAACTTTTCCATGAAAACTTTTGAGGGGTGATTTTGAATGTTGGTTCTGAAAACTGATGGATTTGTGATAAATTTGTGGACTTTAAGAGTAATGGATTGTATATATAGTTAGAAGTGGATTGTGAGTAATACCTCCTCTTATACTTTTTTATAACTTACAAAATGTAAATAGATAGGGACAGATTAAGCATTAGAAGGGATGATTCAAAAACTCACAAGCAGGTTAAAGGTTTTCGGAATAAGTACGACCACAGATTTGATATGTGCGTGAATTTGAAAATCGATGATCAGGGACAATGCTTTTTTCGCTCCATTGAAGGAGGGATTTTGCACTAAAACCCTTTCTTCTCATGAAATTTGGTCATCGCTACAGTTCCTGCAAATGGATATCTTCATTTTGTGCATAGATTATGGTTCTAAAACTTTCCTTTTCCATTGTGATGCAGGAGACATTTGGCAAGCCTAGGAAAAAGATTGACCCACAACAAGAGCATGATAAAAGGGTTGTTGTAGAAACAATAGTTAGCCTTCTGCCAAGGGAGAGAAATGCAATGTCTGTAAGCTTCCTATCTATGCTGCTTCGAGCTGCAATCTACCTCGAAACTACTGTTGCCTGCAGGCTTGATTTGGAGAAGAGGATGGCTTCACAGTTAGGACAAGCTGTAATAGACGATCTGTTAATTCCTGCATATTCATTGACAGGGGACACAATATTCGATGTGGATACGGTGAAGCGTATCATGATGAACTACACTGAAAGTGAAGTGGAAGCTGCTGGGAACATTAGATTGGGTGGGTACAATGCCAGTGACGACGATTATGTCTCTCTTCGGCTGGGTGATATGGAGAGGGTTGGGAAGCTTATGGAGAACTACTTGGTTGAAATAGCCTCGGACCGGAATTTGGGTATGTCTAAGTTCATTTCTGTTGCTGAACTCGTTCCCGAACAGTCGAGGGCTGTGGAGGATGGAATGTACCGAGCCATCGACATATTCCTTAAGGTGCACTCTTAAAACTCGTCCTTATTACAGCTTAGTTCTCTGTTTTAGCTGTGATTTTAGAACATCTTGTGGATTTGTCTACCCACTAGAACACTAGTCTATCATAATATAATATGCGGATTTTGGTTCTAATTCTGAACAAACCCGGACCATGTTCCTTAATTTCAGTCGTTAACTTTTCGGAATACTTACCACTATACTACATTCGAGAATACTTACCACTATACTACAATGACAGTTGTTCTGAATTCCGTTTTCGTCGATTTAGTTACGTGGTTGAATCAATGTTTGACAGGCTCATCCAGAGTTAAGCGACATGGAGAAGAAGAAAGTGTGCAGCGTAATGGACTGCCAGAAACTATCTCGTGAGGCCTGCGCTCATGCCGCTCAAAACGACAGGCTCCCCGTCCAAACCGTGGTTCAAGTCCTCTTCCACGAGCAACAACGCCTCCGAGACGCCATGAACAACAACACTACCACTGGTGGTACTGTCGTCGACCAACATCCCACTCCCAATGTCCCACTCTACTCCACCGACATCCATCCTGTTGTCGTCCCTCATCGTCACAACGATGACCTCTCCGCACTGAAGCGAGAGAACCAAGACCTGAAAATCGAGCTGGTAAAGATGAAGATGAAGCTCAACGAAATCGAGAGATCGTCCAGTACTGGTACCAAATCAGCAGCTGGGAGTCCAATGGCGAGCAGCAGATCGTCACATTCTGCCGATAAGCCTCCTCTGCCGCCTTCTAAGAAGTCGTTCATCAACGTGGTGTCGAAGAAGCTAGGAAGGATAAATCCTTTCGTGCGCCTTGATGGTGTCTCGCCGTCTAAAGGTCGCACGAGGTCGCCTAAAGATCGGCGCCATTCTATATCTTGACACCACAGCAAGAATTCTCATGCATCATTCATGATCTTGTGTTTATTTAGTATTGCATTATCTAAATATTTCTGTGATGGATTAATGTCTTTTTATGAAGTGGCGTTATATTAAACACAAGGAAGCAATCCACAATGTTGGCATTAAAATTACAACAAAACGAAGAGAACACAAAGAAGCGAAATTGGTAGGCATTATTTAGCGTTACGAAACAGTTGAACCACGATTTCAACTTAAGATATTATATTACTGACTTTTTCGATACAACCTCCAGTACGGTATTTCAATCCGTGATAATTACATGTTATCATATTTACAGGAACTGATACAAACTTAGACTATTATCAATTTGGAAAAATACCACTGGGAAACCCGAACTATTAACTTTGTGTCCTAAAGTATCTAATACGACATTTGTGTCCTAAACTATTTTTCCGTTAGAGTTGACCGGCATTGACTGTTAGTTTTTACCAGAAAATCTAGTCAGCGCTGATGTGGCTGGAATATATAATATTAATTTACAATTATTTTCCATATAAAAATTTCAAATTTCAAATTAAAATAAAAACTAATTACCCTTCCCTCTCCCGTCTCCCAACCTCCGCCGCCGCAACCTAGAGTCCTCGTCGGTCGGGATGGTCACCTCGTCTTCACCAGAGGGGTTGCTTTATCTTTGTCGTCGGTCGTCTCCTCCGATTCTTCCCTCTTCCCTGATTGATTAGAAATCGTCGACCTTTCGCTCCTCCAACCGAGGCCTTCCATCGACGAAGTGGAGGCCGCCGTCGTCGTGGTCAAGTCTATCCAAAACGAAGAGCAAGCGAAGCTAGAAGAAATCTCCAAACACCAGCGCCCGCCAGATGTGCCTGAGGAGCTCTTCGTGCTGGTGCAGCAAGTGAGGAGGAACGAGCTTCTTTGCTTGTCTCTGGAGATCCCCAGGTGGAGAAACCAGCCGGATTCTTCACCCATTTGCTCTAGATCAATTGCTGAGGTCGAGCTGGGCGTCGAGCAAGTAGGTTGTACCGATCTTCATGTTCGGATCTAGAACCCCTGGGTTTGGCCGAGACAGGGCATAATCAAGAGTCTCAAGGTTGTGGCAATAAATAAATGAAAGAAATAGAGTACTGGGGGTTTTGGGTTTATAAATCAAGATACAGAGTAAAGAAGACGAAGACGGAGAAGGAGGAGGGTGGAGGGGGGTTTTGTGTTCTTGCTTCATCGATTCCTGCCGCAGGAAACATCAGAAGAGGAGGGTATGTGGTGGTGGTGGTACCGGCCTAGTTGCCTCCCTCTGCCTCTGTTCTTCAATCCTCAAACAAAAGCGGCCCCGCCACCGGAGAAGACGATTCATCTCGGCCTTTGTTCTTTGATCCCTCTCGCCTCTATTCTTCGACTGGCCTAGCGCAGCAACCAGCCAAACAGATCTCTCTCTCTCTCTCTCTCTCTCTCTCTCCCTTACTGGAAGAAGGGTACAATTGTGGGGAGAGATTGGCGGAAGAAGGGAGGAGAGCTTTTTTTCTTTTATTTTATTGACTTTTTTAAGTGACATATAAAAAATAAAAATTTGGTTTAATATTTTCATAACAATATATTTTTATTTTTTATTTAATTTTTAATTAAAAATATGAAGTATCACTGACGTGGCATCTACGTGATTGCCACGTCAACAAAAGTCAATGTTAATGTTGACTTTCATTTGGTCAACCGTTATATATAACGGTCAACAAAATCGTCAGGACATAAATGACACAAAACTATAATAGTTTGGGACACAAATGTCATATCGAATACTTTAGGACGCAAATGACACAAAATTAATAGTTCGAGTTTCCTAGTGGTATTAGCCCTATCAATTTCAGTAGGTTAACTATAAAAAGCACAACTCATTGGATGTGAATAAACTTTAATAACCAAGAAAAAAACTCAGATTAGTTAAAGTAAAATTCAATTAAAATTTAAGAGAGAAAGTCATAAGAGAAACATCGAAATTCACTACATAAGAATCAGTTCTACTGGCCAATAAATTTAATTCAGTTCTCTACAATAAGGATACTTCAAATGTGCAACTAATTTCTCTAGAATGGAGATTGGACACGTACATGGGCGCTGAGCCGTGGTTGGGCCGGCACGGCATGAGCACGCTTCGGGCCCATTTATTTCATGGTGTGCTTGGCACAGCCCGTAAGTTTTCGTGTTGTGCTGTGAAAGCCCATTTGTTAACTTTTCTAGGCCCGGTCCAGGCCCGAGCACGGTTCGAATCGTGCCGTGGCTATTCGTTTGGTGTCTAATGAAAAGAAAGAAAATAAAAGAGAGAGAATGAAAAAGAAGGTGAAAAATTGGATGGAGAAAAATAGTATTAACAGAGAATGTTTGAGAAAAGTAACAAATAAGGGGGACAAGAAAATTGAAATTATAGCGGGTATGATTTGACTTTGTTTAATTCTTCGTCCATTTTAACTTATGGTAGTAATTACGTATATATCTTTATGACACTTTTAACAACAACAAATAATTGTTTTTTTACTTGTATTTTATAATATTTGAACCTATAATTCTTTCTATATTTATTTTCTATCAGATAAATGTTATTTTTTGCGCCATATCCCTTCTTATATTCAATAAAATCTCAAAAATATTAGGTCCAACACGACCCACTTGTATATATCGTGCGTTCCCGTGCTCGTGCCTGTGCCGATGAAGTTTAGACCCGACACGGCCCATAAAGTATTCGTGCTCGTGACGGGCTGGCCCATTTATTTCATGCTCGTGCTCGTGCCGCGTTATAACCGTGTCATGTCGTGCTAGCCCTTGGGCGGCCCGACCTGGTGCCCACGTACAATTGGACACAACCGTTTGGTTTGATCGAGGGCAGAGCATATCAATACATCATCAACTGGTCGTGCCGAACCTGGTGGGGTGGGGGCTATCTATATCTTATCTAAATATTTTTTTTTATGGTTACTCAAAAATTGCATTGAAGCCCAGGGAAGCGCAACTCGCTACTTCCCTCTCAAAATAGAACTGTTTGTTTTACAACTCAATGAAAAACAAAAATCTCCTAAAATAGCTAAGTAATTACATTAGTCGTCTGCACTCTCAATTGGAACTTGGTATGACCGTCGCCTGCAAACACCAAAACTTCTCTCTTTATCTTTGCTGCTACTTGTAATGGTGAGTTAACTGTTGCAGATCCATAGAACCTCGCACAGTGTTCCCTTTATATACCGCTCAAACCCATCAACCAGAGCACCCTACCAACTCCTGTCGCATCAGATGTTGCAGACCAGCTGCTTTCTGCCCAGGCAAGATGCTCCTGCCAGGTAAGGAAACCTGAAAACACCCAGACTCCATGAAGGAGCTGGTGCAAAACTGCAATTCCAAACAAACATGGTCCAAACAAATGCTCCCTGCTATCTTTCCCCCCAGGACACAAAATACAACACTCATCACACCTCACCCCCAATTGATCAACTTATCTCGGGTCCTTATTCTTCCCAATATAACCAACCACACAAGAATGCAATGCTTAGGGTATACTGGGTTGTGCCACAAGGTTTGAAACCACGACACAGTAGGAGAAGACGCACGAATGGCCTCCCACACCTTCTTAATTGAATATTTTGCCCAGCAGCAACCATCCCACTCTAAAGACTCACCAGTTCCTGCAATGTGTTATTGTGCCAAACTTCGACACTTATGAATCTTCTTCCAAACCCACGTACTGACAGAGCAAGGAGAAAGAGACCAAAGGTCCCTCCCTTTAATCCTGTATTTGTTCATCCACGCAACCCATAAAGAAACAGCCTCTGCCAATAAATTTCATAAGTGCCTAATTACACAAGCCTTGTTCCAGTTCTTAAAGTCTCGAATACCTAAGCCACCCTCTTTTTTTTGGCAAAGCCACTTGTGACCAAGCAACAAGAGCTTTCTTCCTTCTGTCACCATCCACTCCCCACAAGAATCTATTGCAAACATTCTCTATCATCTTTAAGTACCTTTAGAGGAAGCAAGAAAATCGACATCCAATACTGGAATACACTTGTAATCACTGACTCTATCAATTGTAGCTTGCCAGCATAGCTTAAATAACGAGTTTGCCAAGTTTCGATCCGCTTAACGATCCTCTCCACAAGACACTCACAATCAACAGATGACAGTTTTCCAGAAAGGAGAGGTACGCCCAAATAACATACTGGAAGAACCCCTAAAGGAAACTCAGATTGCTGAGAAAGAGCTTGCTTATCATCCTGAGGAATGCCAGAACAGAATAGTTGACACTTCTGGGGTTTGCATTTAAGGCCCGAGACAATATAAAAATGATCCAATAGCTGGTTAATGGCATTAATTGCTTGAGAAGAACCATTATAAAAGACTAATAAATCATCTACAAAACATAGACATCTTGGATGGAATGGAATAAACCCACTACTAACTGCCTTCTTTAACAAAAAAGAGAAAATTTCCATTGCTATGGTAAAGAGATAGGGGGAAAGTGGATCCCCCTGTCTCAATCCCTTAGCAGCAGCAAAATACCCACACAAACCTCCAATGAACGAGACACTTAACATAGGAGAAGTGACAACGGCCTCCACCAACTTCACAAACTCAGCAGGCATACCCATAGCAGACATCACTTTAAATCAATGTTGTCAAAGCCGAGCCGGAGTATGACCCGGTAACGTGAACGACTCGGTCATTAGTGGTCCAACCAGCATTAGACAGTTTAAAAACCGTTTGAGAACCGGTACATTATAAACAATATAATATCATAGTAGAACACACATAAAGTAATAATTCAATGATTTAATGAGTAAAAATGATAATTACAGGTACCATTTAATAATTCTACACAACATATATATACAGCAATTAAAAAAAACCCTAACCTAATCCTAAGCGACAGCGCCGCTTCCCCACCCATCACTCTCCTTCCTTCCGCTTCCCCATCCCCCCTCCCTCTCTCCTTCCTCCTCTCCCACCGCCGCACCTATTTTCATTTTTCAGCCACTATAGCCTTCTGCAATTCCTCAAAAATCCATCACCACATTCAATTCTTCCTCATCCTTTCTTAACCCGTAAATGCTCTTCCTCGTCCCAATCCGCGAAATGGCTCGGATTCAATCCAAGCCTCTGGTGAGACAGTGCAGCTTAGCGTGGAGCTGCTTGCGACGGTGGCGACTGGATGGAAGCGTCGGGAGAGGGGAGCTGCTTGCTACAACAAGGACTCGCGATGGCGATGCGATGGCGACTGGGGATGGCGATGCCGTCGGGAAGCGCCGATGCCGGGACAAGAGGTGTTGACGGCCGACTCCACGATTGGCCTTTTCTATTTTTTTTTTAGGGTAAACCAAACGGCCGAACCGCGCGACCGGCTTGAGCGGCTCGAGCGGTTAACCGCTTCGGCCGCTCGCCGACCGCTGTATAAAATCGTGGCGGTTAAATAGCTGATCCGAGCCGGTTTTACGGCCGGCTGGCGGCTTTGGCGGTCCGGCCGGCCGGCTCGGTTCGGCTTTGACAGCACTGCTTTAAATAGAAAACCCCAATCCACTGAGTCAAACGCCTTCATTAGATCTATCATAAGAGCACATCTTGGAGAGATTTTGTTCTTATGATAATCTTTTACTAATTCGTTGCCAATAGGATATTGTCACTTATTAAACGACCCTTGACAAAAGCAGATTGACTTTTATTGATTAGTTTTGGCAGAATCAGGGACAACCTTCGAGCCAGCAACTTAGAAATCCCTTTATATATAACATTGCAGCACGAAATAGGGATTTTTCCAGAAATAGCACCTTTAAAAACATTTAAAAAATAGCACCCATTCCGTAGAAATTACAAAAATAGCACCTTTTTTTAAAAAACCTAACCCCCCGGTGCGTTTTGCATGTAAACCGCACCCCCTGGTGCGTTTTGTCATTAAACCGCACCTTGGGGGTGCGTTTTAGTTTTGTGAGCCAAAACCACATCTTGGCCATGCGGTTTGCGGTCTGACCTAACCAAACCGCATGGCCCAGATGCGGTCTAGGCCTGACCTAGCAAAACCGCACTTTGGGGGTGCGGTTTTGCTTCTCCAAAACAAACCGCACCCTCAAGGTGCGGTTTTGGCAACACAAACAGCACCCCCCCAATGCGGTTTGTGTGTCAATTATTTTCTGACACAAAACATGCAGCCATGCAGATTCGCAGACGTGGGGTTGCATGGCAGATGAAAACCGCACCTCTAAGGTGCTGTTTTCATTGATGATTTTGCCTATAAAAGGCAACCCGGGAAATCTTCCTCTCTTCACACCTCTCCTTCTCCCTTTTCAATTTTCTATTGTAGCTCCCTATTTCTCTAGTGTTTTTGCGGTTAACGTTAACTCGTAAGTTTATTTTGTATTACTTTTTATTGTGAATTGTGATTTTTATGATATTAGTTGAACTACCGTTTTTTTTTTTTTTTTTGCAGATGGCATTCCAAAAGTTCACGCTTGGGTTACGGTGGAATGGTTACACGGAAGATAGCGGAAAGGGGGCACCTACGTCGGTGGCAATTTTCAGAAAATAAAGATCGTTACCAGACCGATGCTTGAAGACCTCTATCATATGTGTACTAATGTTACTTTCATGGATGGCACGAGAAGAGTTGATCGTATGGTGTACCGATATCCAAACAGAGAAGGCGGGTCGTTGTGGCAC